GGCCAACTCACCATGGGTAACTTGCCATGGCCAACTCGTCATGGCCAACTCACCATGGGTAACTCGCCATGGCCACCTCACCATGGGTAACTTGCCATGGCCAACTCGTCATGGCCAACTCACCATGGGTAACTCGCCATGGCCACCTCACCATGGGTAACTTGCCATGGCCAACTCGTCATGGCCAACTCACCATGGGTAACTCGCCATGGCCAACTCACCATGGGTAACTTGCCATGGCCAACTCGTCATGGCCAACTCACCATGGGTAACTCGCCATGGCCAACTCACCATGGGTAACTTGCCATGGCCAACTCGTCATGGCCAACTCACCATGGCTAATTCGCCATGGCCAACTTGCCATGGCCAACTCACCATGGGTAACTCGCCACGGCCCATTTGCCATGGCCAACTCACTGCTGGACCAGAGTTACAGTAATATCAAAGAAATAGTGGGGTAGAATCATTAAAGAAAGGATGCCAAAGGAAGGACAAAATGAAATGTGAATGACAGAAATTTGAAATAATTCTATTGAATTGTTAAATTGTCCCGCGCTGAGTGTCCTGCGGTGAGTTGACCGCAGCAAGTTGACTGTGGCAAGTTGTCCCATTTCCCCATCCCATCACAACCGGAAGGCAGCTTACCCAGTAAGATTGATACCCGAGAGGAGACTCCCTCTAAACTGAACACTCCAATTTTTAGCTCACGGCTGAACAATAACCTCAGTGAATTAACACATCGATTCTAACTGCTGCAATTAGCTTGGCTGTAAAGGAGTTCGGTAGATAAAGAGAGTTAACACACAAGCTAATGGTTGCAACTCAGATCAAGCCTTTCGCACAAAGCGAAACCTTCAGGGGGTTCTAACTGGAATAAAAAGCATGTCAAGTCTATGGAAAGAGCCTCAAAGATAGATAGGTTGAAGAGCTTAGAAGGAAGTCCTTTATTCCAGAGCTGAATTCCAGGCCAGCAAAAGCCTGGGGTGACATCGCAAGGGGAACTAGGAGCTGAAGAAAGGCAGGTTAAGGAGCAGAAGAGCGGTTTCCAACAGATCGAGGTCCAGGAGATGTTCCTAAGGAGTAAGAGTTCTGGCTGTCAGGATTCCAAATAATAGACCCGTAGCAAACAAACCTCCGAGGCAAGTAGATTCTTCAAACAATAATTTTATTGGATATAAAATATTGGCACAGTTCTGGTGAAAACTGACTCTGAAGATTCCCACGGTTTTCACCTAATTAAAAGTAAACGTTTTTCCCCCGTCCCCAAACAGTCACATGGTCCAATTAAGGTGCCGTCTGGTTGCCTGGTAACATTGCTCCTCCTCTCTCTGGCCAAGTGTTAAAATGTCCTTGGTTCCCAATCTTGGCTAAAAAACTCCAGCTATCTCTATTCCCTCCCCTTCCTCTCCCTCAGCTCCAGTGTGGCAAAACTGAAGCCTCAAAATGGCTGCAATCAGGTCAGCTTCAGTGTTGACACTGGCTTTGAGAACAAGTAGTCCTCGACTTACAACAGTTCATTTAGTGACCGTGTGACGTTACAACAAAGCTTGGAGAGAAATTGAAAAAGTGACTTACAACCATGCGATGAAAATTCAGATGCTTGGCAATTGACTCATATTTATGACGGTTGCAGAGTCCTGGGGTCATGTAATCACCTTCTGCGACCTTTTGACAAGCAAAACCGATGGAGAAGCCAGATTTACTTTACAACCATGGTACTAACTTAACAACTGCACTGATTCACTTCACTCTGGCAAGGAAAGTCATAAAATGGGGCAAAACTCACTTAACAAGTGTCTCGCTTAGCAACAGAAATTTTGGTCTCTGTTGTGGTTGTAAGTCAAGGACCACCTTTACGTAATGGAGCCTGCCCATTATGGTTGCAAGTCACGACAATTGTTAAGCAAGGAACCGTGTGTTTGCTTTGCTTAAAATGACCCTCATTACTGCTCTCCCCAGTTGGTCCTTAAGAGACTATACTTAAGTGACCATTAAGCAGAGGATGGGGTGCCTCATAGAGACGGGGGGGGGGTGGGGACCTTGGAGGTCTTCTAATCCAACCCCTGCTTAAGCAGGAAACCCTATACCATTTTAGACAAATGGTTTTCCAATCTCTTCTTAAAAACTTCTGGTGTTGGGGCATTCACAACTTCTGGAGGCGAGTTGTTCCTTTGTTTTCAGAAGTTGTAACTGCTCCAACACTGGAAGTTTTTAAGAAGAGATTAGACAACCATTTCCCTGAAATGTTATAGGGTTTCCTGCCTAAGGGGTAGAGGAGGTTCTGAATGTGGGAGGAAGTCCCACCTGCATTCTCCGCACCCACCGATCACCAAGTCACATTTTTCAGTGCCATTGTAACTTTAAACAGTTACAAAACGAACTGTTTGTATGTCAAGGACTGGACAGCCACCTGTCAGAAATGGTATGGGAGTCTCCTGCTTGAGCAAGGGGTTGGACTAGATGACCTACAAACTCCCTTCCAACTCTGTTATTCTGTATTCTGTAATTTAAGGATTACCTGTAAACCAACTTGGACTCTGCTTTGTGAAGTGAAGAGTGCTTCACTTTTTACAACTTCAATTAAAATGCATTACTGTTATGGCCTGCCAGCAGCCAGCAGAGCTGGCAGCAGATTCGGACAGTGAGGAGNCAACAATAAATCACACAGTTTCCCCTCTATTAGTTCCTCATGATAGGCCAGTGGGGAAAATACTTCTGATTTTAACAACCACAAAAATGATGTTGGAAGAAAAATGTGGTCCGTTTCCAAGGTGGGGGAAAGATGCTGAAAATAAAAGGGGAGGCAGGCCACATGGAAAGGGAGTCTCTGTTTATTTGGATTTCCAGAATCTTTAGAGTGACAGCGACATGTTTCTGGGGTGGCTGACCAATTGGCTGGTTGAATGGGTGGATTTTTATAGTGGTTGATCAAACAGCACTGTATCAGTGGTGGGATTCAGCCAGTTCGCAACACTTCGGGAGAACTGGTTGTTAACTGTCTGAGCAGTTTGGTGAACTGGTTGTTGGAAGAAATCATTAGGGCAGAGAACCGATTGTTAAATTATTTGAATCCCATCACTGTACAATTTCTTAATCCCAAGAAGGGAAAATGGTGTTTGCTAGGTTGTGTGAATCACTGGCCAACTAACTTTGACTATCCGTTGCTCTGTGTCTTTATACAAATCCAATTCAGTATAATTAGCGCCACAAATTAGGGTTGAATTCAATACTGTCAGAAGAAATGCCCATCTGGGTTCAGTTCCAAGTGAGGAAAAAGACACTGGAAACATGATGGCTGTTTGGAAAGATGGTTTAATGGTAGACAGGACCACATGCCTTGGAGCTCCTGGGTGAAAAGGGAAGAGATGCTGGGAATCCCTGGGTTTTATGCCCTCTCTGGACTTTGAACTTCCTGGGACACAGGAAGAGTATCCTGATTGGTTGCTGTCAGAGGTTATAACTAGCTTTGTAGGTTGTCTGTGTGCTAGGTTTGGTTGAAACTTGGTGGGTGGTGCAATGAAGGGCAATGAAATGGCTCTGCCTGAAGTGGGTAGATCTTTTGTTATGTAGAATAGATTGGCTCAGGCCTTATTGGTCCATTGACAAAGGTGGGGTGCTATTAAGAGTGAATCTGTTTCCTGCCTAAAAACATGGTTCTCCATTTCTCATCCAGGGAAATATAATATTCTGCCTTTTTAATATTTCATTCTTCTAGGAGAGGGGTGGGTGCTAACTTTCTACAATACAGTGCATCTCATTTACCCACAGGTTAATATGTTGTATAAATACATACCTCCATCAAGGTAATTGATGAAGTTCACCTAATAGGCAGGTTTGTGGGTGAATCGGGGCTTTTTGGGAGTTGGTCCAAAGTATCCACAGGCATTCCATTCTGAAGAAGTCAGTGGTTTGTCACCACTTTCTTCCAGGATGGGAGACCAATCCTGGAAGGATTTGAATGGGAAACCACTAGGATTCCCAGCTGCTATTTATATTCCAGCTGCTAGCTGCTATTTGGATGGGAGGCCACTAGAATTTCCTAGTGGTCTCCCATCCAAATAGCTGCTAGCTTTCTCGCAACTGTGTCATAGTGGCCTGCCACCTAGCTGGAGTGGCAAACACTAGTCCTTCCCCAAAAATAATTAAATGTACATAATGTAGTGTTTCTCAACTCTGGCATCTTTAAACTATGTGGACTTCAACTCCCAGAATTCAATATTGACTAGGGAATTCTGGGAGTTGAAGTCCATATATGTTACAGTTGCGAAGGCTGGGAAACCCTGGCAGAATTCATAAGAAACGCTTAGTGCAGGGGTCTGCAACCTTGGCCACTTTTCGACTTGTGGACTTCAACTCCCAGAATTCCTCAGCCAGCACGTGCTGTCTGAGGAATTCTGGGAATTGAAGTCCACAAGTCGTAGAGTGGCCAAGGTTGCAGACCCCTAGCATAGGGTTTCCTTTGCTACCAAGTTCTGCCAATCTCTGCGCAGCTTCCTTTCCTGACACGAAGTACCCGACCTCCACCTTGACAAAGCTCCTCCCCACTCTTGCCCCTCCCACCCCGGGTGCTTTTCTTATCCACTCACAACGCCGCGCCTGCTTCTTTCCCTCCAATCCCATTTCCCCAGAGAAGAGTGGGCGGGGGGAGGGAAGAGAGGAGGGGGGGAGGGAAGAGAGGAGGAAAGGCAGCTGCTCAGCTTTTCTTTCTTTGGCCGTCCCTTCCTCGACGCGCAACTTTTTACGTCACGGCGCGCGACGCCGAACAAGAAGGCACCTCAGAAGAGGGCTGCGCGTGAAGGAAGCGGGAAAGTTTCCCTATCTCGACAAGTCTCGTGCCTGCCCCTTCCTTTATCCCTTGTTCTATGGAGCGGGGACGAAACTGAGGCGCTATAAAAGGAGCTCCAGTAAGCCAAAGGAGAGGCGAGAGGGAGGGCAGACTCCCAATTTTCATTTTGAGTGACATAGGTGCGTGTGTGTCTCAGGGGATGGGAGACGAGACAACACGTGTGGAGGCGAGAAGCTGTCACGCGTGTTCTTCTCCCTCTGCCCCCCTTTTTATTCCCTCTTTGAGGGGATTTGAGGCTTCCCAGGTAACCTTACCTCTACATCCAGCTTTCTGAAGCTCAGCCTTGCAACTCTTGGGAGCTGGAAGTCCCTTCGTTTTCAAAGTTGCTGAGGTTCATTTATTTATTTGTTTTATTTATTTACTTTGTCACTCACGTACAAATTACATAAGCAGTTTGTACATGAGAATATTCAGAATAAACATGGACATGAACAAAGGAAATGAATAAACATGGACAGAGAACAAACATGGATAAGAACAAAGAATAAACATTCCATGTTCATGTCCATGTTTATTCATAAACATGGACATGAATGAAGGGAAATGAGTATAAATAAATGGGGACAGTAGGACAGGGATGGAAGGCATGCTGGTGCACTTATGCACGCCACCCTTACAGACCTCTTAGGAATGGGGTGAGGTCCACGGTAGACAGTTTGAGGTTGAAGCTGTGAGGGTTAGAGCAGTGTTTCTCAACCTTNTGTCTCCAGTGTCTTTTTCCCCACTTGGAGCTAAACCCAGAAGGACATTTCTTCCAACATTTCCAAAGGACTCACAGAAGAATGATCAAAAGCAACCAAAAAATTGTGCCAGCAGAAAAAGGCTTAAGGCAGCAGCCAAAGGAAAGATTTGGAGAACATAAATGATTTTGCAAGAGTAGCATGATCTAAGTGATTTTCAGCTTTTGCTGACTTTAAGACGTGTGGATTTCAACTCCCAGAATGCCCCAGGAGAATTCTGGGAGCCCACATTTTTAAAGTTGGCAAGGTTGAGAAAACTGATCTAAGCAGGGTTGAGAAAGGGAATCCTAGGCCCGTGAAGGTAAACCTATGGTATGCAAAGCCTTCTCTGCAGGCATGCCAGCCAGCTGGTCTTTGGGTCTGGGTCACACACGCATAGGGGAAGTGGGGCACATGCACGTAGGGGAGCTCGCATTGCATTTTGAGGGTTTGTGTCCCCATTGCCACCCCATATCCTGATTTGGGCCTGGAAAGCCTCCTGCAACAACCTGGAAGCCAAAACGAGGTGCGGGGGGTGGGGTGCATGTGGGGGGAGTCGTGCGTGCATGCATGGGGGTGGGGAGTGCAGGGGGAAATCACACGTGTATGTTTGGAGGCTCATGCATGTGGGGGTGGGACGCGTGGGGGGTGCGCACATTGCATTATGGATGTGGGCACGCACTTTCAGCATGCAGCAACAAAAAGGTTAGCCATCACTGTCCTAGGCCATAGTTATAATGGGTTAATTAGGTCTTAATTAATTACAGGGTTAAGTGCATAATTATTCTCAATTTAAATTTAAATATAGCTCTCTTTTTCTATAGACCACTTGGTTATTGCATCTATTCATACTAGGAGACGTGGAAGCAGATCGATAATGAGTATTATGATAGGCTTGAGAAACTGACCATCTTTTCCATACTAGCATCCTGGCAACACATACCATTGTTTCTTTTAATAATCTATTAACTTAGTCCAGTGCAGTGTGGGGCTGATTGATCTTTTTCAGATACCACCACAATTGATGGAAGTCACTGAATGGGAAGCTAAGTGCCTTCCTGGCCACCCACACATCAACAATAAATCACACAGTTTCCCCTCTATTAGTTCCTCATGATAGGCCAGTGGGGAAAATACTTCTGATTTTAACAACCACAAAAATGATGTTGGAAGAAAAATGTGGTCCGTTTCCAAGGTGGGAGAAAGATGCTGAAAATAAAAGGGGAGGCAGGCCACATGGAAAGGGAGTCTCTGTTTATTTGGATTTCCAGAATCTTTAGAGTGACAGCGACATGTTTCTGGGGTGGCTGACCAATTGGCTGGTTGAATGGGTGGATTTTTATAGTGGTTGATCAAACAGCACTGTATCAGTGGTGGGATTCAGCCAGTTCGCAACACTTCGGGAGAACTGGTTGTTAACTGTCTGAGCAGTTTGGTGAACTGGTTGTTGGAAGAAATCATTAGGGCAGAGAACCGATTGTTAAATTATTTGAATCCCATCACTGTACAATTTCTTAATCCCAAGAAGGGAAAATGGTGTTTGCTAGGTTGTGTGAATCACTGGCCAACTAACTTTGACTATCCGTTGCTCTGTGTCTTTATACAAATCCAATTCAGTATAATTAGCGCCACAAATTAGGGTTGAATTCAATACTGTCAGAAGAAATGCCCATCTGGGTTCAGTTCCAAGTGAGGAAAAAGACACTGGAAACATGATGGCTGTTTGGAAAGATGGTTTAATGGTAGACAGGACCACATGCCTTGGAGCTCCTGGGTGAAAAGGGAAGAGATGCTGGGAATCCCTGGGTTTTATGCCCTCTCTGGACTTTGAACTTCCTGGGACACAGGAAGAGTATCCTGATTGGTTGCTGTCAGAGGTTATAACTAGCTTTGTAGGTTGTCTGTGTGCTAGGTTTGGTTGAAACTTGGTGGGTGGTGCAATGAAGGGCAATGAAATGGCTCTGCCTGAAGTGGGTAGATCTTTTGTTATGTAGAATAGATTGGCTCAGGCCTTATTGGTCCATTGACAAAGGTGGGGTGCTATTAAGAGTGAATCTGTTTCCTGCCTAAAAACATGGTTCTCCATTTCTCATCCAGGGAAATATAATATTCTGCCTTTTTAATATTTCATTCTTCTAGGAGAGGGGTGGGTGCTAACTTTCTACAATACAGTGCATCTCATTTACCCACAGGTTAATATGTTGTATAAATACATACCTCCATCAAGGTAATTGATGAAGTTCACCTAATAGGCAGGTTTGTGGGTGAATCGGGGCTTTTTGGGAGTTGGTCCAAAGTATCCACAGGCATTCCATTCTGAAGAAGTCAGTGGTTTGTCACCACTTTCTTCCAGGATGGGAGACCAATCCTGGAAGGATTTGAATGGGAAACCACTAGGATTCCCAGCTGCTATTTATATTCCAGCTGCTAGCTGCTATTTGGATGGGAGGCCACTAGAATTTCCTAGTGGTCTCCCATCCAAATAGCTGCTAGCTTTCTCGCAACTGTGTCATAGTGGCCTGCCACCTAGCTGGAGTGGCAAACACTAGTCCTTCCCCAAAAATAATTAAATGTACATAATGTAGTGTTTCTCAACTCTGGCATCTTTAAACTATGTGGACTTCAACTCCCAGAATTCAATATTGACTAGGGAATTCTGGGAGTTGAAGTCCATATATGTTACAGTTGCGAAGGCTGGGAAACCCTGGCAGAATTCATAAGAAACGCTTAGTGCAGGGGTCTGCAACCTTGGCCACTTTNCACCTCCCCACCCCCCGTTTTTGGCCTAGCAGGCCTCAGGGAAGCCTGCTGAGAGCAAAAACGGAGACCCCCCACCTCCACGTTTCCGGAGAACCTGTAGTAAAAAAAAAAGTCAAAAAAGTTCCGAACATCAGCTGTGCGACGTGCAATCATTGGGACTTTTTTTTTTTTAACTTTCTTTAGTATTTTTTACTATCAGTTCTGGGAACCAGTAGCATTTTTTTACTACCAGTTCGGGCAAACTGGCCCGAACTGGTAGCATTTCACCCCTGCCTTGAGGGTCTTTTAATCCAACCACCTGCTCAAGCAGGAGACTGTATACCATTCTGGATAAATTACAGGTAGTTCTTGACTTACGATCCCAATTGAGCCTAAAACATCTGTTGCTAAGCGAGACATTTGTTCAGAGAATTTTGCATCAATTTATGAACGTTTTTGCCAAAGTTGTTAAGTGAAATTTGGTTGTTAAGTGAATCTGGCTTCCCCACTGACTTTGCTTGACGGAAAGTTGCAAAAGGGGATCCCAGGACTCCAGGACACTGCAACTGACCTATGATTCAGTTTCCAAGCATCCAAATTTTGATCATGTGACCATGGAGATGCTGCAGTGGTCATAGGTGTGAAAAACGATCTTAACTCAGCTTTTCCAGTGCTGTTGTATCTTTGGATGCTCACTAAATGAACTCTTGTAAGTCAAGGGCTACCTGTATTTGATTATTTGATTCCCAGATCTTAAATCTACATTGGAAAAGACCCGGAGATGGGATGTATGAGGGCCTTATAGCGCCTAACAAATGAATACCAAGGTAACATTTATCTGCAGAAACATTGGCAGATGTTACAAGAAATGTATGTTGACCCGAAGGTGCTTTCTTTCAAAAGGCTTTCAATTGGACTTTCTTGTTTTGCTTGAAGACTTCTCATCCAAGAAGCTTTCTCAGTTCTGACTGAATGTTGGAGAATGGAAGGATTTATATTCCTTTCATTCCCAAGCACTTTGAACCTGGCTCACTGAGAATCTCCATAGACAAATGTACATTGAGATTTTTAGCAAAAACTGCTTAATATTCATACTGCGATTTTGGAGTCCGTCCCCCCCCAGCAAATTATAATTATTGTGTATTAAAATACACATTTATCCTATGTATTTTCACCTTAGTTAACCCCCCTCCCCTTAAAAAAACCCCATCTACTGATCTTTTTCTGCCAGTCAACAATATTACTACGACATGTATTTGCACTCTGGAAGGTTAAAATGCAGATTTTTTTTTTTAATGCTCAACTCAAAATTCTTTATTTAGCAGTGGGTGAACTAAGTCATAAGTTGGTTAGGTATAGATTTGGCTTAATGTAATTTTTATGTTGTACCCTCAGAAGAATAAAAAGCAGGTTTAACAAACTACGGTTGAAGAATTCCAGAGTCACCATGTAAGGGAGATGTGTGGCATAAAAATGTAATATATAAAATTCTGGCTTAGCATTATAAGTGAACACAGCAGGTTTTCAAGTAAATAGGGGCTGTTACTTCAGAGCAAAGATGCCAAACTGAAGGCCCAGGGGCTGGATGCAGCCCACGGGGTGCTTAGATGAGGCCCGCAGCAGGCCGCCCTGGAAACAGCAGGCATCTGCCAGCGAAAATG